GTTTTCATCTAAAAGATATGTATTTTTAGTTTTACTTTAAACTTTTTTTGAAATACCGTTTTCGTCTAAATAGATTTATTGTTTACTTGATATCAAAAACTTTAAGTGTTTAATTTTTTGAAAGTTTGAGCACTTTTTTTTTTTTTTCCAGTAGCATGCAGAAGTAGAATATTCTCTATTAATATTTGTTGTTATTAGCACATTTGTTGTGATTCCTGTTGCACTTAAATCCATAATATCTCTCTCTTTGAGCACAATGATATCCATAAATAATCTTTGAGAGAGTAACATAATTACATATAGGCAATGAAATTTGTGTGATGACTTCATGCTGACTGATGGCATCATATATTTCGTCTGACTAGCAAAGAGTGCTTGTAGCAACACACTAAAAGTCAGAAAACAAATATCCTTTCTGTCGTAAGCTCATGCATGCTAATTTGATCTAGACCAGAGTTATTCAAACTATGGCACGTGTTCCACTACTAGTGCCGTGGTGCAATTGTTTACTGAAAATTTAAATGAATGTTCAAAGTAAATGTAAAATGGTGATCCTTTAATAAATATACATATTGGTACCATAAATCGGTATATATATATGTTATTCTTATTTATACGGGATGAAATTTAAAAAGTTTTAGAAATCCCGATCTAGACTTATTGAACGTTTTAGAAATCCTGATCTAGACTTATTGAACGTTTTAGAAATCCTGATCTAGACTTATTGAACGTTTTAGAAATCCTGATCTAAACAGCTAAAGCTTAATTATTAGAAAACGGCAATTGCCATGTTCTAATGTGGTTGATCGGAATGGGACACGATATTTACCTCGATAGATGGCGCCAGCAGCACAACATTTAAAGATCTCCATCTAAAGGCTTCTTTTATTAATAAAAACCAAATTCTGTCACACAGACTTTTCGGTGAAACCAGTTTGATTCTGAATTCAAATTTCAGTATGCATGTGAAAGATAATATCACAGCTCTTAAGATTACATTGATGCTTAAAAGATCCATTCTGAAGTCAGATTTGAAGTTCGTGCGTAAGCGAAGGAAACTAACCCCTTTGCTACATCATACTTTGCTGATGTCGTTTCTTTGTTTTAGAAAGGGCCTTCACTTGATTTTTGGTTGAAATTTATACTCAGGTAGAATTTGTGGGTTGCTTTCCTATTTCTTTCTCTGATGGATAGGACAAAATTAATTACTGTACTTAAATGTTTCTTTCTGTATGTCAGAATCAGTTAATTTAATCGAGCGTTTTCAATTTCATTAAACTGAATACTAATTCATTAAAATTACCAAGGTCTGTTGTGGCTTGAACTTATACAGAAACTTTAAATACTGATTAATATAATTTTATTTGTGTTTTGTTGTTTTCAGAATGGCAACAAAATTATTATTCAATTTTTGTTGTTTTGAGAATGGCAACAAAAAGATTATTCAATTTTTGTTGTTCTTGGAATGGCAACAAAAGATTATTAATGATATTGTTCTAAAGAGTTGTTTACATTTTGATAAAAACGAAAATAAAGATTATTTTGATTTAAAACTTAGATTGACGTTATTTGATGAAACAGAGTTGTAAAAATAAAGATTAATTTAGAGTCAGAGCCAATAGGTCTTTTTAATAAATTTGGGCGCATTATTCACATTGGATTCAGAAATAATTAGTGATTAATAAAATAACTTTTACTAAAAAAAGTGTTAAAAATATGATCGCTGCCCAGATTTATTTTAATTTATTAATATTTATAGTAAAATAAAGGTAGTTTACTTGCATTCATAAAAAGTATATAATGAAAGACAGGTTTGAAAATTTTTAATTTAAATTTCTTTTTGTGGTATTTACTTCCTGCAGATTTTTGTGTAATTTAACAAGGATCGATTCTTTATAATATATTACGTTCTTTGGATAAAACATTTAAGTTATTTACTGTGGATTGGTTTACAGATGCTCATAAGTAACTTGTGAAGAAAAAAATTAGCTTTCCTCACTGATGCTGAAATATAGTTGTGTAGCTGCTTCTACATTACGTTCCAAAATTAAAATTACAAACATTTTTTTAAGAATTCAAAATATTTAATTTTATTAAAAAAGTGCTGTTCCAATGGCATAGTGGTAGAGAGCCGGCTGCTTTAGCCTTGTGCCAAGGTTCGGATGCCACAAAAGCCACAGATGTTTGAATATATACAGGGTCTTTGTGGCATGGTTCATCAAAATGCTATCAATCCGAATGTTGTCTTGAATAGTGGTAGGGAAAGAGTTGTAGAAAACCCTCATGTTCGTTTTCTCAAATGTGATGAGACGGCTAAATGCCCGATTCGTTTCGCTATTTCCCAACGAATACATTCAGTTGCAAGTGTCCAGTCATTTGGAATAACTACATGTTTTAAAAACTGATGCCTTATATTATTTGGAAAATGTAGTTTAAACGGATACATTTTTAACATAAGATATTTTTAACATGGCCACTGAGAAACACGTAAAACTATGCGAAGTAGCCAGATTCTTTATATTTCAACATACTCGGTTTTTTAAGCATCATTTGATCAGTGGCGGCCCTAACTTATAGCCTATTCACCCCCAAATAGTTTAAGAGGACCTGCTTTTACTGTTTGCTGTTATGATTTATTGAGAGAATGCTGATATACAAATTGAAGAATATTATGAATCCGAGTGCTCTGAATATGAAATTATAAGGAGAAATAGTTAGAAATTGTATCCAAAGGAAGACTGAATGCTTTAATTAAGTTTAGGTTTAAGTTTCGGGTTTAATAACTTGTCTTGCAGTATTAGATATAAGCAGCTCTATCACTTGATCTTTGCAAATATGAACAACATATATCAATAAAATAAGAATTTGACTTGATAACCTCAACGTCTAAACCTATTTAACATGTTTAACTTCTATAAAATATTTTGTAATAGTTGTAATTTTAACAAAAATTAGGTAAGAATTCGATTTTTTTTTTTTTTTTTAAATTATAGGCTTTTTCAACCAGGAGGAGGGGGGATTTCATAGTTTCCTGAGGAATGCTGTCAGCCTTTTTATTTACCTTTTAAATATTTAGTTTTGTTTATGAATACAAAAAATTAGTGTTATTCAAATTTTGGCATTTATCAATATCCTCTACAATTTCGTCTTGTTTAATTAATAAAACCCATTGTGGGGGGTGGTGAATTTCATGGTATCAGAGGGAATGCGATCAGCCTTTTTATTTACCTTTTAAGTATTTAGTTTTAGAGCATAAAAAAATTCAGGTTTTGGCACTTTTTTTTTTCACTTATTACGTGCTCCGCCCCTAGGCACTACACGGAACGGGAGGATTGCCCCGTAGAGGTCTTTTTAAGGGAAACTGACTCGTATCCACGTTAAACATGGGGAAAACCACGAAAAGCCCACGCAGCCAGCCCGTTTGCCTTGATTCGAACTCCAGACCAAACTGCCAGTGTTCAGCGGCTTTTACCGCTCGGTTGCTGGTGGGCCCAGGTTTTGGCATTTATCAGCATTTTGTATATTTTTTTCTTTTTAATTTATAAAACCTATTAAAAAATTTAAATTTAAACAAATGCATATACATTTTTTTAGGCTTGGAAAAGAGAGGGGGGCAGAATTATCCTCCAGTGATGGTGAAAAGGGTCATGGGGGGTAAAAAGAAGATTTAGTTAGATTTAGATAGACTGGCTTAAATATACTCAAATACATTTTGCATTCACATTGTAATTAAAAATATGAAGTGTTCATTGGAGAACTATACTGTTTGCGAAATTTAAACATATACTGAAGTAAAAGGCAACCATTTATATTTTAAAGGTGAAATTGTAACAGTTGTTTAATCCGTTCGAAATCTTGAATTTGGGACTCATTTAAAAAAAAAAAAAAAAAAAAAAAAAAAAAAACTAGGATATTAGGAGGTGGCGCCATCTCATATTAAATTAGTTAACTAAATCCTAATTTTCCCGTTTCTTTTTAAAGTTGATAAAGAGACGGAAGACATAATACAGTTTCATTTCGGTTATAATTGAAGTTTAAGGTTTTAATAAATTCGCTTGAAATGAAAATCTTTAAATTAAAGGTTTAAGATAGCTCAGAAACTTTACGGTTTTTGTTAATATCAACATAGAGAGGTATCCGCTATCTAGAATGCAACATCTGGAAAAACTAGCATAGTCAGTCGCATTATTATGTACTACTGAAATTAAATTTTAAGTAGATCGTAGATCGTAACTTTGCTTCTGGTGTGCTACTACTGAGACCAGTACATTAATCTTAATTACCAATGGTCATTAGCTTTTTATAAATTTAAAGCAGTGGAGTAGCGAGCATAACTGGCGCCCGGGACAAAATACCTTTTTGGCGCCCCCTTTCCCGAAAAAAACATAGTGATATGATGAAAATCTTGTTTGGACCATTTGGCGCCCCTCTGCGAACGGCGCCCGGGGCATCATACACCCCCTTGCCCCGCCTCGCTATGCCACTGATTTAAAGATACATATTTATGTATGTCACTCGAAGGCGATTAAATTTAATGTGCAATAACATGAAAAGGGTTTTGTTATCTATTCTTTTAATATGATAATTATGAAAGGGGGGAGAAATATCCTATTTTGAAAGGAAAAAATGCAGCTGTAGGTGAAATAGAAAAGAACGGACTGTGTTTGAATAAGATTGTTGCGGAATTTGAATAGTAAAAACATAAAGTATGTTTGAATGAGAATACTACTGAAAGTGAAAAAATGAATAAATATGTAGAACTCCATTTTCTATTCGTGCTTACTGTTTCTACATAACTTTGGTGCTCTGATTTGTATATATGTATTCACATAACGAAATTAGCTTCAGAATGTTCTAGGAGGATATGCTTCTGTAACATATTAAGATTTTATATCTGTTAATTCTAACTGAAATCTTTAAAAATTTAAGAAAAATGATCTTACGAAGAACGTTTGAAACTGATTGCGATACTGATCCATTTTTCCTTCGCATTAGTCGTTGTTTCCGTGGTGTAGTGATTATCAAGTGAGCCTCACACGCGCAAGGTCCCCGGTTCGAGCCCGGGCGGAAACAGCGCTTCTTTTACCTACCGATCTATTTCTTCCATTGTTAAATTTTTAGCCTAATGAAGCGTTAGTCTATAGCGGCATTTTGCGCCCCCGGAAAAAACGAAGTTTCAATTCCCTCCCTTCTTCATTTATTATTGCGAATTAAATCCTGCTTAATTTTTTCTGGAATTGGTTCGAGGAAATAAGTGTTTAAGATTTACTTCGTAATTTTTAATATAAATATTTAAGTTTTATGAATTTTTTTTGCCTTGTCGCGAAGTGAGAACTGAATTAATGAATGAGAAATACTCATCGTCTGTGAACACTGTTTTTTTTGTTTTGTTGCTTAATTTCTTTTTATACATCCGTTAGCTTATTATAGTATTTGAATAGAACATGTGGCAACGATTAGGATAATTCTATTCTTTAAATGATAAAATTTTGTGCATTATGGTGATAATATGAACGAAATATAATACTGTTAAGTGAATCTAGCGCCAAAGTGACGCTATGGTAGACAAATACTAGAGTGAATTTTAAAGAATGCATTTATTCTATTGTGGTTTATGCGCTGTCGGCGAAGTAGATTTAATTCAATCCAATAAGTTTAAATGAAATGCAAGACAAAAAGCGTATAATTTAATATTCCGTACAAGGAAGTCATGTGGTATACACATAAGATTTTTTACATTTGTGTTCCGTAAGTTATTCAATATTTTGTAATAAACTTTTAATTTCTAGTTTGTTTTTCTAGTTTATTTCTACCAATTAAATTACTTATTCAATTCAGCAGGCATACGCATATTAACTGTATTTTGTAAATAAATATTCAGAATATATTATTTAATTAAATTCGTAAGTTTAAGTAAATGTAGCTGGATATACTGTTTAATTTAGCTTAATGTAGCACATGTATTATTTCTTTAAATTAAAATGGTGTGAACATATTCCATCAAACACATGTATATGTAAACAACATTGGGGAATGTATTATTTAATAAGTAATAGTTTTGTCAGCAAAATACTTGATAAATTTACCAAATATTTTATTTAACTGAGGTATCAGTGACTAGCGAATGCGACGGGTTCTTTATTTAATTTAAAAAAAGAGCTTCCCCTCCTTTGATTTTTTAAAAAATTTAGCTAGTATATTTTAAATTCGCCAGAAAGTGAAATTTCAAAGTAAAGATTGAAAACTGATAGTTATTTATTTCTCACTGATTACAATTTATTTGCATAGAGCAATTTTAAAGATACAAAAGTGGATATAATACAGATATAATGGAAGATATTACTTTATCAATGCCAAAATACTCATTTAAAGAAAATGTATGACCTAGGAATTTAGACAATGCCATAAGAACTCATTTCTTTTCTTTTTTCTTTTTACTTACCCTTTAAATAGCCAAATCAAAATTTTAAACTTAAATAAAATACACATGCTTTTAAAAGAATTTACAAATCACATTTCATGACTGGCCTCTGGTAAATATTTGCAAAACTGAAACGTTAAGGCAGTTCAACCGTTAACGTGTAAATAAACGTTTAAAAATGTATAAATAATTTTCATCAATAATTTTAATAAAATTAAGGCTCCTAATGACGTAACTCCTGCTAATGTTAATGTTTCTAATGCCTCTTAAAATTATAAAATTAAGGTTCTAAATAATATACTGAGAAAAACTGTGCGAGTATTCTTTTGTGTGAAGTTTCAAAACTGTAAAAGATTTTGGAGGAAATAAATTTCATCAAGCTTTCAGCGCTTCTGTCTGCATTCAATCCATTGCGAAACGGTGCTCAGATAATATTTTTTTTAGCTCTGGTTAAGCTCGATAAAATTTATTTTTAAAAAACATTTTACAGCTATGGACGTCTTCACGCAAAAGTACACGTACAGCTCTTCTTGGTATGAGAGCACAGGCAGTAGTTGCCACTTCAGGCTACTCAGAACATTGAACAGGCAAAGCATCAAATGCGTCAGCTCCCAATGTGATCTCTCAACACTTTGTGATAAACTGAAAACTGATGTTGCCTTCTATCTTACATAATTTCCCCTGGTCAGTCCAGAAATAAGCAATACCTTCGATTTCTCGAATGCTTATAGAGTTACAGTTACGTATGACCGGATGTAGTTCAATTACATAATGATGGGATCAGTTCCGCAGGGATCGGACATAAATATCTCGAAATAACCGCCAAGTCTGGCAAGTTTTCGCGACGTACTGTTAAAACTGGGGACTAAATTTAGTCGCCAAAACCATCAGCAATTGAGGTATGGTGTTGTTTGAGTAATGTGGCAAAATATTTAAATATGTAACCGAGAGGGAAGAAAAAAAAAAAAAAACACGTCAAATGCTACCGCCCGGCAATGTAAACCGGGGACTTTGCGCGCGTGAAGCCCACCCGATTACAAATACAATACGGAATACACTACGGATACCGAATTATGTGCTACAAACTCTTTACACTCTGAAATTATCTTGTTAAGCAGGAAACCTCAAAGGGCAATGAAAGGCTGTAAAGTTCTAAGCAGTATCTCGATTTTGGTTTTAACAGTTCTAGAAATTATACGTGTCTGGAAATATACGAGTATTCTGCAATTTGCGTATGCTGTTTCTGAAATTCATTCGAACAGTGCCGTTACAATATCACAAAAATTCCCTAATGTACGGTTATACGGTTACTAATATTTCTAAGAAAATGTTGGCAGTTACAATGAACGTGGCAAGTAATGATAGAACTTTTATCAGGTACATTGTAATATATTAAAAAAAAAATATATAAAACAATAAATTTAAGCACAGATCGTGCTTGATCTCAGATAACTAATAGTCGTTGGCTTCGAAAGGACCGTGTTCGAAAGAGTTTATAAATTTAAAATATGAAATTCATAACACTGGCGCCATCAAAGAAAGTTATCGGTTACCCAATTTAAATACACACAGAAAAAGTGAGCAAAAATTCTTCGAACTTGATTTCAGATAACTAATCTGGCTTCGAAAGCACGGATATAGAGATTGCGCATTTGAAATTTTTACTTATCAGGGAAATTTAAATAAATAGCAGGAAAAAAAAAAAAAAAAAAAAAATTACGCGTAAAATGTTTCCGCCCGGGATCGAACCGGGGACCTTGCGCGTGTGAAGCGCACGTGATGACCACTACACTACGGAAACGACGAAAACGTATGTCAGGATCATCTACTTATGATACACAATAGCTTCATTACCCTCTGAAACTATCTTCTTAAGGGGGCGACATCAAAGGGCAATGGAAGTTCCAAGGAGAATCTCGATTGTGGTCTTAACATTTAAGCAAGATATTTGTTAATTTTAGTTCTAGAAATAGATGTCTCTAGCGATATGTAAGTATTCTGCACTTTGAGTACTAAGTTTCTTAAATCATTCGAACAGTGCCGTTACATTGTTAGAAAAATTTCCTAATGTGCGGCTATACGGTTACTCCTATTTCTACGAAATTTTTGGCAGTTACAATTAAAAATGGCAAATAATGACTTAAGATTTATCCACAGGTAAATTGTAATATTAATTTTAAACTATAAAACAATAAAATTACGACACATTCCTCTTATTGACATTAATAAGACGAGCTGTTACACAAATATGGAGAAGAAAAGTCGAAAAAATTTTGATGTTCTATTTTCAAACTGTAGTTAATAGTTGAAGAATAAAATTTTGGTGTTTAGAAGTAACAAATCTTGTGGGACAGGCGAAAGAAAACAAGAGCATCGCAGCCGGTAGGATTCGAACCTACGCGGGGAACCCCAATGGATATCAAGCCCATTGCCTTAACCACTCGGCCACGACCGCATAGACGAGAGATTCTTGAAGAAAATGGGTTGAGCTGAGTTGGTCCAAGTGTTTTGGGCCATAAAGATAAGTTTGACAACGAACGAATTCATTATGTTCGCAGTATGCTCACTCTGACTGTAGCGGACGGCTAGCAATTAGTTATACGCTAACTGCTGTGTAGATGTAAAATATACATACTGTTGCCATTCCACATTATAAAAGAAACTTTGTATTTCTTCCACTTGATAAACCGTGCACGCTGAGGCTCTTAAGAGGCAAATATGCATTTCTTTTTGAAAAGTATCTTTTTCTTGTGTAATTAAAAGTTATCGTCATTTGCAATGCATTTGCGACATAATAACGGAAAAATACTTCTTCTACCATATAATAAGCGTGTCGGATTTTATTAGAAAGGTTGTTGAATAGCAACAGACTGTCTTTTAACCAACAAATACTTTTATGCCATCGGTGTTTAGAAGCTTACTCTAAATGAAGTTTCGAATGCCTAGTTATTTTATTTTAAATCCAAAAAGTATTGTTATTTTGTCACACAAAGCAATATTCTAATTCGCATTAACATCGAGTCTCTGGTTTTCTTGGAAAAAGAGAGAGGCTAAGTTTCTAGGAAAACTTACATAATTTGGTTGAGGAACCTCAATCTTTGGTTTTAAATTTTCTGTTTGGCAAAGCTATGAAAGAAGATGCAGGGACCGAATTAAACAACGTTCGAAATGGAGTGTGGATGCGGAAATGTCGCATCAAGAGAGAAGGGGATGTTTTCGATACCGACAGACTAAATCTTAGTGCTGGTAAGAAATGTTCTTCCCAGTATGGTTTTGGAGAGCTAAGGGGAAGCCCGACGACCTTCATTTTATCTACCGAATGGATTGCGGAAACTGCAAAGCTGTTAAAACATGTACAGGGCTGTTTAAACATGTACAGGGTACAGGGTAGGGGGTTTCGAATCACCAAATGATGTAGCGTATGAAACTTCGGTTTAGCGAGAACAGATTTTTCTCAGTCGTCATATCGACAGTGGAAGATATCACAAAATCTACCTGCACCAGCTTGGCCAATTTGCATAAAAGCGTCGGCTCCTGTCTGCAAGACGGATATTCTTTGGTAAGACATAATTGTTGCCGGCAGCCTTGTGAATTTTAGTTTACTCGAAGAATGCGACTTTCATCAAAATGCCGGGATACTCAAATAATGATT